CTGCTGAGGTAAGTGAATTCAAAGCAATCCCCTCTGTGTTCAAAACTACACCACTTGTGCTTGTCCCAGAGATCACTGAAGTCAGAGGGGCTTTCACCTGATTTCGGTGGGCTTTGGATCATCCCGCAATGGGGAATGAGAATTTTACTCTTAAGACAAGTAGGTCCTTTAGTGTTAAGAGCCACTTCTGTAGGTTTTAGTTGCTTTCTTTGTGGGACGTTTTTTGCAAGGGGTGGCATTGTTTTATACTTTTAAGCCTATTAATCTATTACTGAACAACCAAAAATCCAGCTGCCTTTTGCTTACAAATTGTTCCTTCACAACGTCTTTGAAGGCTGTTAGAGATGGCAAATTTTCTTCATAAGTGGATTTCCTCACTATTATCCATCTCTTTTCTTTAAAAATAGAAACCCTACAAACAAAGGTTTATTGTTCCATTCAAAACTCAGCTAGAAGACATAGTCACAGATCATGTAGTCAGAGTGATTCCTGAATGATCTAAAAGTGATGCAGAAGGGGAGTGCATACCAGGATGGGTTTCTATCAGGCATGCTGCAGTGTGTCGGGGAGATATATGTTATCTACAGAGCCTGGTGGGTTGTCAGGCGGTGCTACACCTGCTCAGCAGGTACACTGCTCCTCTGGTTTGTCAGGCTCTGCTCTGAGGGTATGTAGCGTGCAGCCATCCCAAGGAAGGCCTGATGACTGTCTTTAAAACAGTAACTTTGTTCCTCGCTAGTGGCCTCTGAACATTTTGAGGGGTTGATGAGACTGATATTGCAATTCAAGGCTTATTAGCTTGCAGTGGAGTGCAGCGATTGTCATCTTTAATAGGGGTTTATCATTCCACATAAATGTTGCTTTAATCCTATTTCTGTTAAAAATCACCTTTTCTCTCAACTCTGATAACCTTTTCATCCATTATCTAGGAGAAATTTCCTTATCATTACAAAAGGACCCAGGACAATGGGTAATTGGGTAGGGTATTTTTTCCCCTCTTGCTTGAATGAGAATGGATGCCTTTATGGATTTAACCAAATAGTTCAAGCATAAAATCCATATTCACTGGGCTGTCATATAACATTAAAAAGAGTAGGGGGATTATTTGGGGGCCAGCCATACTAAATTTATGCTGGTTATTTATAGGTCTTACTGTTGCTGGTTTTAAAGAGAAGTCACTGCTGCAAAAATCAGCTCTTAGAGGGCTAAATTTGATGATATTCCATAGCTTCTTTCTACAAGGTATTCTTCATAAGATGCATAGCTTGTTTCTTAAAATCACCCTGCCTTCACTGACCTGTTAACCTGCTATGTCAGTCCTCATTACACATGATATATGTAACAGCTGATATTATGATGATATAATTAGGAGAGCCCAATAGGAAATCCTAGTTGCCTTAAGTCAGCAGATAAAGATGTATGATTTCAGATGTAATTGCAGGCGGCAGAATGCCCTTCTGGTTCCTGGAGAGAACTGGATATTTCGGAACAAGGCCATTCAACTAACAGTGCATTTCAGAGTGCTGGAGTTAGAGACAGCCACAGAAGAGCTGTTTGAGACTATTTTTTCATAGTAACCGGGGTGATGGTGAAGGTTTGAGAATTGTCTTAGGAAATAACTTGAGATACATCATTGACACATTGCTCAGGAAATAGTCCTAAATCTGTTGGACCAGAGAGTAACTTACAGAAAAGAAATAATGGAAATTTCTTAGAATTGCTTGTACAGCTGAAATAAAAATAAAATAATTGCTGGCACTGATGCCTTTCCTGGAGTCCTTTGGACTCCCAGTACTCAAAGCTGGTCATTGCAGAAATGCAGTTATTCTGTGCCAGGTTATTGTAGCAAGGCCTCAGCTGTTTGTTGTTACGCTTAGGCTGGGTCTGTAGTGTGTGGTGATTTTTATCACGCTCTATGGAATGCATATATACCAAGTACTTTTCATATATGGCCAAAACAACAGAGCTTGTCAATTCTGTCATTTAAAACAACAAAAAAAAATCCTCCTCCTGCATTAGTTTCAGACTGATGGGCTGAAGTGACAGAGAGAACAGAAGCCTGAGCAGTGGAATGTACTGATCTGCTCTGTCTTCCTTGCAGTCCTTCTTTCACACTGTCTTGGAAAATAGCCCCTACTGTGAGTCCATGGTGGACAACAACTTGCGCATCACAAACTGGAACCGTAAACTGGGTTGCAAGTGTCAGTACAAGCACATTGTTGACTGGTGTGGCTGTTCACCTAATGACTTCAAACCAGCAGACTTCCACCGATTCCAGGTAACTGAAGCAACCTCTTCTCTGATACCCACAAAGAGACTCTTCCCCCTTTGCTGGGGTGTGGAGAGCTGGCTGGCTGCATGGGAGTGGGAAGGGAAGCTATTACACTACCAAGCAAGGTGGAGAAAGAGATGTGAGGAAGCTCTGTTCTTAATTTCAGAAGAATAAAAGATTGGTTCTTCTGTGTTTTGGCCCTTGAGACTTACTACTGTGTGGTAAGGTCACAAAGCAGCTCTTTGGACTACTTGGCATGGGTAGATGGGCTGTGCTAGAAAGGAGGGAAGCTTGTCACATCTCTCTCTGTACCAATATTACTTGATCACTTGTCGATTTATTGCAGTGTTTTGTTTTTTTTTTTTTTTCCCAAAGGTCCAGCTCAGGTGCTTTCATGATTTCATGAAGCTCCTGGCTTTCATTGTTAAACAGTGGTTTTCATCTTTGAAATAAGCTTAAAAGTCGACTAGTGTGTCAGCTGGAGGCTTATATAGAACAAGACAAATTAGTTTTTATTATTATATTCAACAACATGATTGTATTTAAGTTTATCTTGTGGTTTTGGAGACCACAGTCATGAGTTTTCAATCACTCAGGCTTGACAGGGCTGCCTTAAAAGTTTAATCAGTTCCTTTGTGATACAGTTTCCTCTAGGCAGACATGAGAGCAAATCCTTGTGCTCAAGGGTGCACTCGGTCTCAAGACTGTATCTGCCCTGTGTGTCTTCTATTAAGAATGAACAGCTACTTGTTTCAAGGTCACCAGATTTGCAATTCCATCACTGCAGCTCCTCAGAGTTCCCTGCATAAAGCATGTTTGTTCAGGCTTTGTGTGGGATGGGGAATGTGTTACCCTACAGCAGAAAAAAATTATGACTTCTCTAAAACAGAGACCTTTTCTTTATTGTAATGTGCTGCCTACCAGGCGCAGTTGAAGTCAATGACACAGGCACTCACAAAAAGAGCAAACAAGACATTATCTAAGAGAGGCTCTGCTACCCTAAACACCAATCCTAGGAAAGTCCTTCAGCACAGAATAAATGGCAAGTCTTAAAAAACTGCCAGTCTGCAGAAGCTCATCTGCCTTAGGCTGGGAAAACAGCCCCCAACGACATCTCAGAAAACAATCAGGTAAACTGAGTTGCAAGGAGAAGTTCAAAATTAGAATAGATGTCAAGGCAACTTCTGACACTTGCCTGATGAAAGACCCCCCTCAGATGAGCACACATCACCAGAAGGCTCACTCATGGTTCCCACAGAGGCACAAAGCAAGCTGCCGAGGAGGAGATCAGAGACTCACAGCATGTGCCATCTCTGAGTAAAACTAAACATCCTCAAAAGAATTTTTCAACCATACAGGGCACTTTTGAAATCTTTGGCACCTTAGAACCCATGCTCAAACGCAAACAAACCAAAACAAAGGCTCTTTAAAAGCTACTGCTAGTTGAGTAGCATATAAACAGTTAATATACCCAAGATTGTGCAGGTGCAGACCAAGGTATCTGTACAGGACCAACCAAAGCTGAGAAACCTGAGCCACAGATGACACCTCTCCCAGAGTCCTCTTACCCCCTCACAACAGCAAATACATCCATGCAAAATGCTGCTCTGTCTCTTCTGAGCCCTTGTGCCCCAGGCCAGTTTTGTCTCTGCCTGACCACGTGCCAGTGCTGCACCTTCTCCACGCTAACATGGTGGCTTAGAGAGCATTCCCCACCCCTCCAAAGCAAGGCAGCGTTGAGGGGGGCTGTTGGTACAGAGGAATTGGCAACACCTATGTGTTTTTTGAGTAATTATGTCGTTTTTATCTGAATCTTAATGACAAATGGTCACAAAGTCACCTTTGCCCGTGGGGAGAACCAGTTCATGTCCTCAACTCCAGCCCTTTGCTTAGGAAAAACGTCACGGCTGAAAATGGGAACTCACTCCCATGTCTTTTCCTTTTGTATCACCACAGCAGACCGCAAGGCCAACTTTCTTTGCCCGCAAATTTGAAGCTGTAGTGAATCAAGAGATAATTGGCCAGCTGGACTACTACTTGTACGGGAACTACCCGTCGGGCACGCCAGGCCTGCGCTCCTACTGGGAGAACGCTTACGAGGAGGCGGACGGCGCGCACACCCTCAGCGACGTCTCCCTCACCATGTACCACGCCTTCTCCCGCCTGGGGCTGCGCCGAGCCCAGACCTCCTTCCACGCTGCTGGGGACAGCAGCTGCCGGTGGGTCCGACTGCCTCTCCTCTCGGGGGTGGCTCAGGGGACACAGACTGAACGGCCAGGCTCCGGCGGACAGTGGGCTGCTTGGCTGTGCTGGCTGGAGCTTGCTGTCACAAGCAGGGCCAGGTGGCTGCAGACCTACAGCGCCTGTTTCCAGGAGTATTTATGCCCATACTGAAACACTGGTTATTCAGGGTTGACATTAAGTGACCTGTTTGCTGCATGTTTAAGGTGCTCCTCTCTGGCCTGACAAAGACTGATAGGACCCAGTTGTGCAGTGCTACCCCCACTGCTACGTTTACTTTATTAATGTCAGCAAGTGTATTATACCCATGGCTCCTGAACCCTCTGTGTGATTGCAGCAGAGGTCATGTTCACCTCTCTTATGCTTACCAAAAGCAAAGGGCAGGATTTCAGAATTAATCCGAACACAGGCCCTTGCTTATTTGTTCCCATGGGTGCATACATGGAGTACAGAGGGCTACTTGCTCAAGCTCAGTTTGCCTGCTTGGTACAACTGTCTGTGCCAGAAGTGCGGCAACCAGTGGGATCCATTAGCATCAGATAATTAAAATGTATATATGTATAAATTATATATTTTCTTTTATATAT